GCCAGGGCATGCCAAGAAAGACCTGACCTTTTTCCAGAGGCCAGCAGTCCGTATTGGGGTTTAAACCGCACACGTGATTTTCTATTTGTGGCATCCTTTCACAACTAGCAAAGCGCTTATGTTTTTGGAAAGAGCCTGCAATCCAGCCCTGCTGAGCTGTGCTACAACAGGTTATTGTTCTGGCGTAGGTGAAGGACGGGACCTCTGCCTGGGAGCTTTTCCAGGAGTTGTGCTGCTTAGCTGGAAGGAAGCAGAACTTCTCAGCATCACATTTACCCGCAGTGCTAATGCTGCCTGCAGCGCCAGGAGGTCTCCAACAGTGTGCAGAGCGCGAGGAATCCAGCTTCACGCGCAGGCACCATGTGGAGCTGGCACTGCCAGCCCCTCCTGTCCCTTGCTGTAAGTGGAGTGTGCCTGATGCAGGATGAAGGCCAGAAAACGAGTGTAGAAACATTGGCAGGGCTGCCTTGCTGTCTGCAGAGTGTTTTGGATGCTCCCGATTCCTGGAAGCTTACTGTCTTTTGATAGAGAGAAATACAAACTGTAACTGTCATTTGACTTGTCTGTAACAGCTCAGAGACATTAGAAAGCAAAGGCTGAGATCCTGCTTCAAATTTGCAGCTCTGGTTGTGGCTGTTTGCTCCATGTCTGTGGTTATCATGGTGCTTTCAGCCTGCTAGTGAGAAGTGTCCACTCTCTTGATTAGCAATGATCCCGCTCCAGCCCCACTAAGCCCCACGGACAGTCCGTCTGTATCGGCACAGAGCCACTGCCAGCTCATTCCCATACATTTGCCAAGGACAGCTTTTCCCCTAGGTAGCCTGAGCTGTGGTTTAGATGAAAGGAAATTTGCAGTTTAAAAGCATCTTTCCATTTCAGTGAGACTTTTACTTTGCAGAGTTAACACTATCATTTCCTACTTGGATGGGACCAATTGATGTTTCCTTCTCAAGCTTGGCAGCGTGACCCTCTAACAGCAGTGCCACTGCGCTGTGCCGGGCAACCATCTCCCCACCATGATAAAACTGTTTGCATTCGCTGGCGCTCCTGACATCTCTTGTTGAGGTTGTCACAACAGCAGCAGTTGAAGTGGTTAGGTAGGTCTGGTGTGCAGATCTGACCCATAATGGAGAGCAGGCTCTGGACCTTTGCTCTGCGCTGGGCATGGGGACACTACTGTCTGCACCCTTTGCAAAAGGACAGATGCAGGAGGATCGTAGCCCACGCAGAGCCTTTCACCGACAGCCAGTGGGTTCCCATGGAGTGTCTGCAAAGAGGAGCTCTCTTTGCCAGCTGGGCAAACTGGGTTTAATTCAGCTCCCCCCAAAAAGAGTCTTCTGGAACTGAACGCATCCCATGGAAAGTGTGCTCCAGCAGCTGCAACAAATCCGAGGAAGACTCTGCTTATTTCCAGACTGGGAAAACAAATCTGATGTTGAAAATGTGGCTAAAATAGAAGCTGTTTTAGCAGAGAAAGGCTGGGGAAGGCTGCAGTGGGCAAAGGCTGACCCTTCCAAATAAGTCAGAAAACGGGAACATTTTGAAACTACCAAAAATCCAGAGCTTCTTCTCAGTTGTGGCCTTGGCTGTCACTGAAATCCCTCGGTCCAGTTCTAATCCTGACTTTGCAGTTTGCTGTCATGACGTTATAAAGTCAAATGCCACCAGCGATGGAAATAGATATTCCTTCCCAGACGGAAGCTTCAGTAAAGTGTTCCAGGAGGCGGAGGGGGAAGGGCTTCCCCAACTGAACTTCAGCAGAATTTTTACTGGCAGAAAACTCTCAATTTTAAAGAAATATGGTTTTCTGATCAGAAAATGCTCCCCTGGGCCATCTGTCCTCAGATATCTGGTTTCCATCACTCTTGTGTCATTCCTAAGGCCTGGCAGTACCAGAGCTGCTTTGGAGGCACTGAGCAGGATGTGACCCTGCTTTGAAAAGCTTCCACCTGAACAGCAGATCCCAGGGAAGGAGTGCAGGAGCGATGCCCCCCAGGTGGCAGGAGGAGGGAGAGGAGGGGAAGCATTCCCAGCTGCAAACCACCTGCTCCTCCCGTAGATATGCGGGTGCTCCCACGGGCAGGCAGGCTGGGAGCTGGCATGGGGCTGGGCCATGTGGGAATCTTGCTCTCTGCGGAGCTCCAGCTGCCACAACCGGTGTGGTTATTTTTGGTGTTTCACCCTTTGTCATCCAAACTCTTATTATTCTGAGCAGTGTGGCGGTGGGGCAGGCACTGTGTTGCTCCATGCCTGCCCCTTCCCAGGCAGTAAATGCTCAGACCCCCATGTTTGTACCATCCTCTGGGGTCCTCCTACCACCAGAAGCGCTGCCCTTGGAAGGTGGCCTGAAAGGCTGCAGCTATTTAGACAGACAAAGAAGAATTGAAGTGGTTATCCTTCCTCCCATTGCCCTCCC